CCAATGGTTATAACAAAAAAAAAATATATATATAAAATAATAATAAATTTTGACTTTGTACAAAGAATAAGAATTTTACAAAGAAACAAGTATAATAATAACAATAGTCTAAACATAAAAGGTGATTCCATCTATTCCATCCAATACTCTAACTATTATTGCTACTAACAGAAGCATTTATAATTTCATTGTTATTATTATCATTATTATTGTTATTGTTATTATTTACACTATTATCACCACTACCACTACCACCACGTGAATTTCTAAATAATCTGCTTGTTCTACGTCCTTCTTTACGAATAGATGCAAGATATTTTACCCATCTGAAGTGAGGGAAAGCACCATGATCATTATTTCTGGATTCAATAGGTGAAGAAGTAGAAGAATTTGTAGTAGTGATAATTGTAGTTGGTGTTTTTGAGTCTTCATTATTACTTTCATCAATATTCCAAGTCGTGCAATCAGCTTTACACATTGGACATAATGATGATACATCTAAAAGCCAAGGATCAATACAAGATCTATTCATTTAAATACAAATAATTTTAATCAAAAGATGAGATGATGTGACTAAATTAAAATTAAAAGCAAGGTAATATTTACACAAAGCATAATCGTATGGGAGTATTACTGCTTCACTAGTGTCCAACTCGGTTATGTTTTTCAGCATAAGAGGTGCGTCACACTTGACATAAGCCATCCATCTCTTAACATTAGTTATGTTAACCTTTGGCCAATTATGTATTGCACCCTATATTGATTGGATTAATGGATTGATGATTGATAAATATATAAATGTATATGCATTGTGAAAAAAATAAAGAATACAAACATTTAATTGATCCAATTGATCAAGAACAGGAGAATTTTCCCAAAGTGTCAAATTACAGCTTCCTACTTTACGAACAGTAAAGTTGTAGGTAGGAGAATCACTATTCAGTTGACAATTAACTGAAACTTGAAAGCTAGCAATGATGATTATAATTATTAAAGAAACATACAAGGAAAACGTCATGATTTTTGATTTTTTTTTGAGTTGTTTTTTTTTTTTTTTAGAAAAACAATTTATTTACAAGGAAAATA